GAAAGAACTCTCTAAAAATTCATTTGGAACAATAAAAGATCCCGAATAGCCACAGCAATCCTGAGAAAGAAGGGTAAAGTAGGAGAGATCTCAATACCAGACTTCAAACTGTATTACAAAGCCACTGTTCTCAAAACAGACTGGTACTGGCACAAGAAGAGACATATAGATCAATGGTATAGAATCGAGAACCCAGATATCAATCCAAATCACTATGCTCAATTAATATTTGACAAAGGAGGCACTAATATACAATGGAGTCAAGACAGTCTCTTCAATAAATGGTGTTGGGAAAATTGGACAGACACATGCAAAGGATGAAACTAGATCACCACCTTACATCATACACAAAAATAAACTCAAAATGGATACAGGAGTTAAACATCAGACGAGAAACCATAAAAATACTAGAAGCATCCACAGGCAGCAAAATCTCAGACGTATGCCAAAAGAACTTCTTCACTGATACTGCCCATAGGGCAATGGAAGCTAAAGAGAAAAAAAACAAATGGGACTACATCAAAATAAAAAGCTTTTTTATAGCAAAAGAAACCATCAACAAAATAACAAGAAAGCCCACTGTGTGGGAGAACATATTTGCAAATAATACCACCGATAAAGGTTTAATCTCCAACATCTACAGACAGCTTATACAACTAAATAAAAGGAAGATGAATGATCCAATTAAGAAATGGGCAATGGACCTAGATAGAATATTTTCAAAAGAAGACAGAAGGAAGGCCAAAAGGCACATGAAAACATGCTCAAAGTCACTAATTATCTGAGAGATGCAAATCAAAACAACAATGCGGTACCATCTCACACCTGTCAGAAAGGCCAACATCAACAAATCAACAAACGACAAGTGTTGGCGAGGTTGTGGAGAAAAAGGAACCCTCATGCACTGCTGGTGGGAATGCAGACTGGTGCAACCACTGTGGAGAACAGTGTGGAGTTTCCTCAGAAAACTGAAAATGGAACTCCCATTTGACCCAGTAATCTCACTCCTAGGAATATATGCCAAGAAACTAGAAACACCAATCAGAAAGGATATATGCACCCCTATGTTCATAGCAGCACAATCTACAATAGCCAGAATTTGGAAACAACCTAGGTACCCATCAGCAGATGATTGGATCAAAAAACCATGGTACATTTACACAATGGAATACTATGCTGCCATAAAAAAGAAGGAATTCTCATCATTTGCAGCAACCTGGATGGAATTGGAGAGCATCATGCTGAGTGAAATAAGCCAATCAATGAAAGAGGAACACCACATGACCTCACTCATTTATGGATAATAAAGAACATTATAAACTGATGAACCAAACGATATAGAGACAGTAAAGCAACAAGCAGACTATCAAATTACAGTGGGGAGGAGAGGGAGATCTGGGGGAGATAATAGATCAACCGAAGAACTTGTATGCATGTATATAAGTACAATCAATGGACATAAAATTCTGGAAAGGGAGGGTATGCCTGGGAGGGAGGGAGGGGGGCAAAAAGAAAAAAAAAAGAAAAATCAAAATAAATAAATTAAAAAAAAAAAAAAAAGCTTTTCCAGCTGCACCAAAAAAAAAAAAAAAAAAAAAAAAAAAATAGGGTACACTATAAGTACTGAGGAAGAAGTGATGAATTTTGAGTTATTTTAGGAGAACAACAGGTAAGTATGAATTTTGAAGTAAGGGCATTCCAAAACAAAGGGAAATGTACTAGTATGTGCTCAGCAGGAGACATTAAAATTAAAGCATGGGAATAGTGGGACCTCCACCTTGAGAGATGAATGGGAATTAAATCATGGGCAGGACAGTTAAAAATATTCAGACTGTTTCTCCATAGAGCACCCAGATAAAATCATGAAATGCTGCTTGCTGCTACAAGTAAATATGGGGATAGGCCCAAAGAACCAGATTTATTTTATTTGCTGTTTATTTATGTATTATTTTAATGCTTACCCTAGGGTATGTTCTTAGTGATTTTTAGAGGGAGAGGAAGAGAAAGAGGGAGAGAAACATTGATGTGAGAGAAACATCTATTGCTTGCCTCCTATAAGAGCCCTGACTTATTATGGAAACGTAAACCATTATGTGTCCTGACCAGGAGGATCAGACCTGCAACCATTTGGTGGGTGGGAAGATGCTCTAACAATTGTCCCAACTGGCCTGGCCAAGACCCAGCTTTTATTTATTTATTTATTTATTTATTTATTTATTTATTTATTTATTTTAAATCAATCTTTATTGTTCATATTATTACAAAGGTTCCTCATTTCTTCCCCCCTCCACCAGGTTCCCACCCCATCCTCCACCCCCTCCCCATCCCCCATTGTCCTCATCCATAGGTGCACAGTTTATGTTCAGTCTCTTCGTCCCTTCCTTCCCCCCCCCATAGTAAATCCCTTTACAGATAGTAAATCAGTTACTTAGCATTTTCTCATATCAATAATACCTCCACATGCCCAATGATACACTTCACACAAAAGACATTTCCCAATAGGTCAACTAGCCTCATCCAGGCCCCACCCAAGGCACTCACAGATCAACACCCCAGCCCTATACTAACTCAACACATCCAGATCTAAGCCTTCATAACTTGATTCAGCAGACCCTCAAGTTCCCGCAAAAGTTTCCAGCCATGTCTGAGAGGCAGCTGTGGGGCAGGGGCAGGCGAGGAGCGAGCTGTTCTGTGCCTAGCTGTTCAGGGCCTGGCCTCTGTTGCTCTGGTTCGTTCCACAACCAGCTGCTCCGGGTCTGGTCACTGCCGCTCCCGACCTAATTGCTCTGGACTTGGCTGCTGCTCCCCCGGGCCTGGCCGCTCCCAGCCTGGCAGCCGCTGCTCCAGGCCTGGCCGCACCCAAACCGGCTGCTCCCCAGGGCCTGGCCGCTCCCAGCCTGGCAGCCGCTGCTCCGGGCCTGGCCAAACCCGACCCAGCTGCTCCCCCGGGCCTGGCCGCTCCCAGCCTGGCAGCCGCTGCTCCAGGCCTGGCCGCACCCAAACCGGCTGCTCCCCAGGGCCTGGCCGCTCCCAGCCTGGCAGCCGCTGCTCCGGGCCTGGCCCCACCCGACCCGGCTGCTCCCCCGAAGACCCAGCTTTTAAACTAACTGCCAGTGATTCTTATGTAAGCTAAGATTTAACAAACTACTAGAGTACAAAATAAACAGCACTGGAGTTCATTAAAGAACTTGGCTCAACCATGGGCATGTCGGGAGGGAAAAAGGGGGGAAAGGAAGACATATGTAATATTTTCAACAATGAAGATTCATAAAGAAAAGAAAAGAGAAAAAAAAAAAAAAGAAAAAAAAAGAAAAAAGAAAAGCCTTCACTCAAGAGAATTATGGAAATTGGATTTAATGACCTGTTTGGAACAGAGGTTGGTAGGAGAGGAATCTTTTCTGAAAGTAAGATCTTGAGAGTATGCTAGGATGCCTAGAGTTTATCTGCCATTCCTTCTTCCAAAATCATTACAATTTTAACAAAATCTTTTCTGACCCCACCCCACTCACCTCAAAGTTCCAGCACTACTTTATTTGTACTCAAACATGGCACCGCCATACAAACTTTTAAACAGTCTAGTGTACTAGTATATATAAGAAAGCTTTGTTTTCCCCACCTTGATTCTTCAAATTCCTTAAAAGTTAGTCTATTTCTTGAGTGAAAATGTGTAAAAGGAGGGGGAAGGAATGAAAAAGAATATTGAATTATTGGGATATCTCTATTAATATTTACTTTTATTTCTTGTAATAATGCATATATGCAATAACGACATTTGCAAACTAGCTTTATATTTTAATTCCTTGGAACATGATCCACTTTTACTCACTTGAAAAAAATTAACTTTTCAGTAGAGAAATTCTTCAAAAATGCCTTACTTATAAGAGAAGCTTCCCCTTAATTCATGTTCCATCACTCATCATATAGATGAGTGCATTCAGGTGGCAAGATCCATGCTGCCTCCACATCTTTTCCTCAGGTATTTTTTTTTTTTAATTGATATTTTACAGAGAGGAAGGGAGAGAGATAGAGAGCTATAAACGTCGATGAGAGAGAAACATCAACCAGCTGCCTCTTGCACACCCCCTATCGGGTATGTGCCCGCAACCAAGGTACATGCCCTTGACCGGAATCGAACCCAGGACCTTTCAGTCCGCAGACCGACGTTCTACCTCTGAGCCAAACCGGTTTCGGCTTCCCCACGTTTTTAATTTTTAAAATTCCTTCCTTATTCGCTATCTCCACTAAGTCATCCTTGGACCTGACCCTCTCACCATCCTCACTCTTCCTACAGGACCCTGTCTGCAGTAATAAAACTAGTTTTGAAAGCAGTCAATTAACTCATGGAAGGAGTTGGGGCTCCACCCTGTAGGAGGAACTAACACAGATGGGTAGACTTAAGCGGTGGCGGCTAACATATAAACCCTTAATCTTTTAAGGGGGGAGCTGCACGCGGACAAAGGTCCAATCAGAGGCCGCGGTTCCCCGAGCACTGAGGGGCGGGACTGGGCGAGCGCCCGCCCACCTCCCAGACTCTCCCGCTGCGCCGCCGGAGCCTCGCGGGCGGAGGGAGGCTCCGCCCCCTGGTTAGGCGCGGCGGCTATTGGAGGAGGCCCAGCCAGCCGTTGTTTCAGTTGGTGGGAGAGAGGGCGGGGGCGGGGCTTGAGGCGGGCTCGGGCCCCGGAGAAAAGCGGGGCGGCTCGGCCGGGCATGGTAGGCGGGTCCGCGGAGCTCCCCGGCCATTGGCGAAGCGGGTGGAGCGCAGCCTCCCTGGTGCGAGGGACCGTCCCCGCTGACAGAACCCCCTTTTCAGGCCGCGCTCCCCGGGGAGGCGGATCCCCGGTTCCGGAGAAGGCTTCCTCCGCCCTCCTTCCCTCCCTCCTTCTCCCGAGCGGCCTGTGAGGAGGAGGAGGTGGTCGGGAGCCGCGGCGGCGGCGGCGGCGGCGGCGGCGGGCGGACACCGCGCTCCCCCTTCCCCGGCGGCGGCGTTGGGGGGCAGGACAATGGAGGTGGCTGTGGAGAAGGCGGCGACGGCGGCCGCGGCGGTTTCGGCGGTCGCCGCCGCCGCCGCCGGGGGACCGTCGGCGGCCGCAGCGCCGAGCGGAGAGAACGAGGCCGAGAGCCGGCAGGGCCCGGACTCGGAGCGCGGAGGCGAGGCGGCGCGGCTCAACCTGTTGGACACTTGCGCCGTGTGCCGCCTGAACATCCAGAGCCGCGCGCCCAAGCTGCTGCCCTGCCTGCACTCCTTCTGCCAGCGCTGCCTGCCCGCGCCGCAGCGCTACCTCATGCTGCCGGCGCCCATGCTGGGCTCGGCCGACACCCCGCCGCTGCTGCCCGGGCCCGGTTCGCCGGGCGGCGGCTCCTCGCCGTTCGCCACCCAAGGTGAGAGAGGCGGCCGCGGCGGGGGAGGGCGATGGGGGGGGGGGGGGAGGCGGGCGCCCCTGCGCGGCGGGACCCGCTGTCATGTCGCCGCCCGGAGTGCGCGGCGGCGGGGGAAGGGCGAGGGAGCGGGTCTGTGTTGGCGGCCGCGACGCGAACGGGCCCCGCACGCCCCGCGAGCAACTTGCACGGGCGCCGGGGGCCTGGCCGCGCTCCTGCCGCCGCCTGCGGGCGACCCGCCGCCCGCACTTTTTGGAAAATCTCCGTCGGAGCCGGCTGTTGTCTGCTGCTCGGGTTCTTTGCCAACTGCATCTAGTTAACGGCGGCGACCCTCTGCCTCCCCCAAAGCTTTGTCCAGGTGCATCTGATCCCAATCATCTCTCATCTCGCCTTTACCCACGTTTTGTGTGGTGTGTGTGTGTGTGTGTGTGTGTGTGTGTGTCTGTCTGTGTCGGAGGAGGAGGAGGGAAGGAGGGATGCGGATGAAGTGATAGTGACTTTTTTGATGGTTGGTCACAGATGAGATGTTGTCCATTTCTCGGTCTTGCATGTTTCGAGTTCTTTACCGAGAACCCAGCTCCCTCTCCTCCGCTGTGGACAAAGGAGAGCTAGGAGACGGTGGTTTTCTCGTCTTTTATCTTTCCAAGGTTTTATTTCGGGTCGGCAAAAGGGTAAAGAGGAAGAGAACAAAGCGATTCGGGGGGGGGGGGGGCGGTGCAGAGTTTTCTTATGCTTTTGTAGACAACAGCTGGAAACGTTGGCGCTTCTGTTTCTCTTTGTGGTGGTTGTTACTGTGCAGTTGGGAGTTTTTGACAGGTGGCTCCCATTGCTAGCTTTTAAAAGGCTTGAAACGTTTAAAGTTAAAGTACAGTAATTATCTGTTTCTAGTGGGATGCTTGATATTTTTTTTTTCAATTTTAGTATTGCAAATACTTGAGCACCTTATTTAAAAAAAACACAAAGTAACTGAAAAGGGGGAATTCGTTTTTAATTTGAGGTGAAATGCTAATTAAATAATTGAGCTAGGTCAAGGAATATGTGAAATTAATGTTTTAAATAGATTATGGTGTTAGACCCCTCATTTATTTTTACATGTTAGGAACGGTATCTGGTCGAGGGAGACAATTTTCTGTTCCTGCAGGTCCTGCCCGCAGAGTGACTGCCCTTTGTCTCTATTTTAAAAGGGTGTTTGTATAAGGAACAGCCTTAGAAGATGGTGTCTTCCATCAGAGCAAAGCGCAGGCATGCATACAGTCCAGAATAATAAAGACAAATGTCTCCCTTTGAGGAGCTTACTGCTCCTCAAAGATTAAGGTTCCCAGAGAGAGAAAAAGAAGAGAGGGGGGGGGAAAATTGGGGTTCCCACAGCATAGATTTTTCTCATGTAACACAACCCATTGCCTGTGTCTACTGGTCCTCTTCATTTTGCTTGGTGGGAACTGGGATTCAGAACCAGTGCAACATGTTGGTGTTTTGTCTAGTATAATTATTGTAAGTAAAAAAACTGCCCTTTGCCTGAGACCTGAATCTCATGTCTTCTACCAGCATCCATGGCAAGCTACTTTGTAGCGTGTAAGTAGAGTAAAATATCAGCCTTCACACTAGTTTGCTCAGAGGTGGCCCACTTGTTGGAAAGTTAGTACAGGTGAAACTAAGAAATCTTAGTTCTTACATTTTTTAAGACATATTTTGGGTTTCTTTCAGGTGAGTAGTCAATTAAGACCTGAATTTTGCATAATTCTAGGATTAAGATGAATTGTGTGGGTGGCCATGACATTCAGACCTGAATGAATGAGAACATGGGTAATAAAAGAACAGATTCTCAATTATGACACAAATTTGAATTCCTTTCTCAGAATTCTCTATGTAATTCCAGTCTCCAAGTATTTTTTACCTTTGTGCTTGTATTATATGCAAATGTTCAAGGGAGGCATTTAAATTTAAAGATAAATGTTTTTGGCTTTATACTAAGCAAAGGCTTTAACAAATGATACTTTTGAGGTTGTGTGCCTCAAAAAAAAATTAGGATTATTATCAATAAATTAAAAATATCCTGAATTTTATTGACTTGAATACTTTCCTTTTTACTTTCTTGAAAACTTAATACACACTGAAGTAAAAATTTAGGCAATACATTTTAGAACTAAAGAGTTTATTTGATGAACTTAAAAATTTTTTTTTCTTGATTTCTGAGAGGGAGAAACATCAACGATGGGCTGCCTCCTGCACATCCCCTCTTGGGGATTGAGCCCGCAACCCAGACATGTGCTCCCACCTGGAATCAAACTATGACCTCTTAGTTTATGGTTTGACACTCAACCGTCTGGTTCATTTGATGAACTCTTCATGAACCTTCTTTTTTATATATATTTATCAGAGGCCAGTGCACAAAATTTGTGCAGGCCCCTCCACTCTACCCCCCCAACCCAGCCTGCACCTTCTCCAATCTAAAACCCTTCAAGGGATGTTTGACTGCATTGCCCCTACTTCTTCTGCCTGCCAGCCTAATCACCCCTTAACCACTCCCTTGCCAGCCTGATCAATGTCTAACTGCTCCTCTGCCAGCCCAATTGCCCTAACCCTGCCGATCTGGTCCCCCTCAACTACTCTCCTCTGAAGGCCTGGTCCCCCTCAACTGCCCTACCCTGAAGGCCTGGTCTCCCCCAACTGCCCTCCCTTGCAGGCCTGTTCCCTCCCAACTGCCCTCCCCTGCTGGTCTGATCGGCCACAACTGCCTTCCCCTGACGGCCATCTTGTGGTCATCTGTGTCCACATGGGAGCAGCCTTCTGTGTGTGTTGGAGTGATGGTCAATTTGCATATTACTCTCTTATTAGATAGGATTATTAGGTAGGAAAAATATATATATTTCAAAGAGGAAGGGAGAGGGAGAGAAACATCAATGATGAGAATCACTGACGGGCTGCCTCCTGCAACCCTCCCCCCAAACACACATACATACACACACACACACACACACACACACACACACACACACACTCACACTCGATCAAGCCTGCTACCTGGGCATATGCCCTGACCAGCAATCAAACCAGTGACTTCCTGGATCCTGGGTCACCTCTCAACTGCTGAGCCACACTCAGCTGGGCTTAATGAACCTTCTTAATGAAGATTCTTTTAATTAACTTGTGAGTGCAGGCACCATGGATCAAACTACAATACATGCAGGAGCTAAGCAGGTAATTGAGATGGAGAATTGTGAGCCTGCAAATAGGCAATGGTGGGGGAGTGGGAGGTGGCAAATTCTACTTAGCTCCAGCAGATTCATGTGAGAATGAAGAGCCAGTGTTGAAGGATTTTTTTTTTTTTTTTTTTTTTTTTAAACAAGAAGTCTGAGGTCTGAATTTTGTGTCAAGTTTCTCTAGTATTATATATTGGCAGGTAATTATGAAAAAAAAAAAAATGACATACCCACACAGGTCCTTTCTGTAGGCCACATACCCACACAGGTCCTTTCTGTAGGCCACATAACATGCTCCAGTTACACTCTTAGTTTTTAGATTTAGATAGGGGTTTTCAAATATTAGCTATTAGAATCATCTGGTACACTTGTTAAAATTTGGATTTCAAAGTCCCTCTCCCCAGGTAGTCCAATTTGGCATAGTTTTAGAATTTCAAAGTATAATATAAAACCCTAGTGTTCCCTTAGACCAAAATATAGTTGATAATAAAGATTCTATAGGAAATTATGACTAAAATTCAGGTGTAGAGTAGTAATTCTCAATACTATCAGGCTTCCTTTCCTTTTCTTTTTTAAAGTTCTTTTTTTCCTCACCTGAGGATATTTTTCCATTGATTTTCGTTTATTTATTTATTTATTTATTTATTAATAAATCTTTATTGTTCATATTATTACAAATGTTCTTCATTTCCCAACCCTTTCCATTGCTCCCCTCCACCAGGTTCCCACTCCACCCTCTGCCCTTTCCCCACCCCTCATTGTCCTCATCCATTTGTGCACAGTTTATGTTCAGTCTCTTCCCACACCCTCCTCTCCCCTTTTCCCCGAGAATCGTCAGGTTACTCCCCTTTCATACCTCTGATTCTATTATGTTCACCAGTTAATATTGTTATCAGATTTTTTAAAAAAATTTCCCTGGTTTTTAGAGTCACTTGTTGATAGTTACGTATTTGATGTTTATAGTTTTTATCTTTATTTACTTTCTCTTCTGAAAGGACCCCCTTCAGCAATTCATATAATTCTGGTTTGGCGGTGATGAACTCCTTTAGCTTTTTTTTTTAATTAGTGAAGCTCTTTATCTGGCCTTCGATTCTGAGTGATAGCTTTGCTGGGTAGATTATTTTTGGCTGTAGGTTCTTGCTATTCATCACCTTGAATATCTCTTGCCATTGGCCTGCATGATTTCTGTTGAGAAATCAGCTGATAATCGTATGGGTGCTCCTTTATAGGTAACTACCTGCTTTTCTCTTGCTGCTTTTAATATTCTCTCTTTGCCTTTTGCTCTTGGAATTTTAATTATGTGTCTTGATGTGGTCTTTTTTGGATTCCTTTTGTTTGGAGTTCTGTGCGCTTCCTGGACTTATAAGTCTAATTCTTTCACCAGGTGGGGGAAATTTTCTGTCACTATTTCTTTGAGTATGTTTTCGATATCTTGCTCTCTCTCATTTTCTGGGACCCACATAATTCTGATGTTGGTTCGCTTGAAGTTGTCCCAGAAGTTTCTTACATTATCTTGAACTTTCTGAATTCTCTTGCCTTCTTGCTTCTGCGGAGTGTCTTCTGGCACTTTATGTTCCAAATCTTTGACTTGATTCTTGCGATCTTCCATTCTGTTTTTAGGACTCAGTATAATATTTTTTATTTCAGACAATGTATTTATTTCTTGTTGATCCCTTATTTCTTGTTGATCCCTTATTAGTTCTTGTTGATCCCTTTTCATATCCTCATAGGTCTTATCGACCTTTTCTAGGAAATTATTGAAAAACCTTATAAGCATGGTTTTGAACTCTATATCCAGTAGCT